AACCATCAGTGTCCCGGTTTGCATTTTCACAGAGCAAGCTGTAACCTGTTCTCTCCAGCCCCTCAGGGCAGGAGATTATTGAGTTTGAGGGCGGGGGTTCCGCAGAGTAGGTAGCGCTCCGGAGCTGCCACGGAGAAGGGAGGCATCTGAACAGCTGGACCTTTGCCCCGTCACAGGACCCCACTCCACAAGTTAGGCACAAGAACGTTTCTGCTGAACGAACAGTTAAACTGCTTGAAAGGAACTGGCAAGACCAAATGCCGAATCAAAAAGCACAGCGGTCCTCCCCTATCTGTGGGGACGCATTCCCAAACGCCCAGGCGGTGCCTGCAACTTCAGGCAGGACTGAACCCTGCACATACTGCTCTTTCCTATACACGCACCTATGGTGAAGTTCAATTTGTAAATTAGGCATAGTAACAGGCGAACAGTAACTAATAATAAAACAGAACAATTATAGCAACATACCAGATTCTACTCATGGGACTGTGGTCCCTCTCTTCCAGGATATCTTAGTGTGCCCTACTCACCTTCTCGTGCCGGTGTGCGGTGACCCAGGGCCTTCCGCGATGAGGTGGAGTGAATGACACAGGCATAGCACAGTCAATGGAAAGCTCCAGAAATGAGCCATTCGTAAGTTTTTAACTGCTTGCTGTTCGGCGAAGCATGATGAAAACACCTCGTGCCAGGCCAGGCACGGGGGCTCACGCTTGTGATCCCAGCGCTTTGAGAGGTGGAGGTGGGAGGATTCCTTGAGCCCGGGCGTTTGTGACCAGCCTGGGCGACAATAAAACCTTGTCTCCACAAAAGGAAAAAAAGTTAGCCAGCCACGGTGGCGGGTGCCTGTAGACCAAGCTATTCGGGAGGCAAAGGCGGGAGGACCACCGGAGCCCAGGTTGAGGCTGCAGTGAACCATGATCAAGCTGCTGTACTCCAGCCTGGGTGAGAGTGAGACTCCGACCGCATGCCGCCCTGCTCTTTCTGGCCTGGACGCGATCGCCATCTTAGTTCTCAGCAACCCTTATTTTACTTCATCGTGGCCCCAAGGCACAAGAGCAGTGAAGTAATATTTTCAGGCCACGGTTGACCATGGGAAACTGAAACCTCAGAAAGCAAAACTCTGGAGAAGGGCAGGCTATGGTGGTATCAGTTTTGTCATCATCACATGCCATGGTGTGTGTCTCTGCCAACACTTCTGCCTGGGACCTTAATTCCCAGGGCAGCAATGTTGGGAGGGGAACCTTCAAGAGGTGGGGCCTGATGGAGGGAGGGGAGTCACGGGGTGGTGGGGAGGGCTCACATGCAGTTCTCACCTGAGTGACCTCTTTCCCGGTGAGAGTGGGTTGTTTATAAGTGAGGACACTCCTCGTTTGCCCCTCCGCACATGTCCCTGCCCCTCTGACCTTCTGCCATGAGACGACACAGCACATCATCTGATGCCGAGTAGATGCTCAGGCTTTCCAGTCACCAGAACTGTGACTCTAGTAAAGCTCTTTTTCTCATGATTGACCAGGCCTCTGGGGCTCTGTGACAGAAACGCGAATAGACAAACACCACGATTTCAGGAAGTGGCGAACAGCTGAGACGATCCTGTCAGGCTCACACATCCGGGCAGGAGTCACAGGGCTGTGGGACTCCACCTCTCCCCGCCAGGCAGGAACTTCTACAGCACTGAGGCCTACTTGGTGGACCCCACTCGGATGGCTTGGCACGGTGGCAGCTCAAGAGGCCTATGCTTGCATGCCCGCGGTAGGCCACCTGCAGCCAGAGCAAGCTCCCTGCTACAGTTGTGGGTGCAAGCCTTGACACACATTTCCCTAGGCCACTGTGTGGACAAGACACATGAGCCCCTTCCTTGAGGAGGAACAGAATCTAAGTCTCCTCTTTAATTAAAAAGAAACTGTGAAATACATCACTGATAAGCAAGAATGCTTTTTTTTGAGTTGGAGTCTCAGTCTGTCCCCCAGACTGGAGGGCAGTGGCCGCTCCTGGCCACCGCAGCCTTGGCCTGTTGGGCTCCAGCGATCCTTTCGCCTCAGCCTTCCAAATAGCTGGAACTACAGGCGTGCACTACCACGCCCGGCTAATTTTTTATTTATTGTAGAGATGCGGTCTCACCAAGTTGCCCAGGCGGGTCTCGAACCCGTGGGCTCAGGCAATCCACTCACCTCAGCCTCCCAAAGGCGTGGGATTACAGGCTGAGCCACCAAGCCCGGCAAGAATGCTTTCTTTAATCATATGTTGGATCCTTCGTGCTGGCAATAAAAGTAGAGAATACAGAATATGTACTTCGCACGGAGCTAAACAAAGAAGCTACTTGTTGATTAATGAGATTGACACAAAAATAAATTAAATTTGACTATGTTCTCCAAGGTACAACTCTTTTGCTTTCCTCATTTTTGATCCAAAGACATAAGGATTCTTGCTCAATTGTTTTATGATGAAGCCCACCTTAATCCATCTAAGATGTGATGATCTCTGTTCCCATAAACATCAAGGCTTGTGAAACAGGTTTTATACATTGTCAGCAGTCATAAGAACATAGTGATGGCAATAGGACATAAATCGTCCACGTTGTTTCTCTTCAGATGCAAATTAACTTAAATCCAACTTGCTATTTTGTTCTTTCCTGATTTAACCAACTCATTTCATGAGCAAAAATAAATATATGAATAAAATGAAGAGTCAGTGAAGTGTCCTGTCTCTGCTATGGCTGTTTACACGAGTTAACTCAGAAGTGTTTTTGACAGTCTGCAAGCATGAACCACAATATGCCCTTGTGCTTTTCCAAGATCTTATCTCTTGGAATTCCTGAAGTTGATCATTAAATATCTTAAAGTAGCAAGTAGGGTAAGTTTGGGGTTGTATTGATTGCTTTTTCTTTTGATTTTTTTTTCTAAGATGGAGTGTCACTCTGTCAGTCTGAAGTGCAGTGACTTGATTATAGCTCACTGCAACCTCAAACTCCTGTCCCTCAAACTCCTGTCTCAAGGGATCCTCCCGCCTCAGCCTCCTGGTAGCTAAAACTATAGGTATATACCATCATACGTGGCTAATTTTTTGTAGCAACCGGGTCTGCTACGTTGCCCAGGCTGGTTTTGAACTCTCAGCCTCAAGCGATCCTTCTACCTCAGCCTTCCAAAGTGCTGAGATTACACGCATGAACCACTGTGCCTAGCCAGTAGTGCTACTTCTATTTTAAAAGCATGTGGATGACATTCTCTCAGTTAGCTTCTGTTAATAACTAATGACCATTTATTGAGACCCTGTTATGTTTTAAGCATTGGGCTACATGCTTTGCAAACATTTACTTACTCTCCACGGCAAGCCTGCAAGGTAGGCATGTCCTCTGCTCTACAGAAGAGGGAACCGAAGCTCAGAGTGCTTATCTGATTGATGACTTTACAGTTCCCAGGGCTGTGGCCTTGCCACGGAATTTCAGCCTCAGGAGCAAACCCCTCGATGTAACTATCGAACGTTAGCCAGACCCTTTGTTGCTGTGGCAACTTGTCCCGAGACACCACAATTCAAGGAAAAGTGGGCAAAACTCTGTCCCATGGGAAGGTAGGAGATGCTGAGGTGGTGGGCACATGAAAGCCTGTGATGCCCTTGAAGGTGCCCCTTCGGAAGGCAGAAAGCTACTCTGAAACACTTCCCAAAGGCCTTCGTTTGTTAGCTCTTGCTTTATTTTTAATCATGTAACAATACGAAAACACGCCACTGTCTCCCAGCATCAGGCGCCCCAGTCACAAACGTTGACACGGTCCCCAGGCAGTTCAGCCCCCAGCTGCAGCCTTGGCAGCAGCCACACTGGCCTGCACTGGCTCTGCGTTCCTGGCAAGCACCTCCACGTGTTCCTCACAAGTATATCGTGCATCCAGAAGTGAGAGACAAAGTCCGGGAACTCAGGAGCCCTCGCCTTCCCAGCCTGCACTTGCAGGGAAACATGGAGGAGGGGATGGGACGCAGGAACACTCTTCAAAGCACCATTTCTGCAGGATGGACGGGGAGAGATGGGCTCTCCGTCACCGGGCCCATATGCTGCATGTCGAGAAGCAACAGAAGATGCCAGCACTTGAGCCAGGGCATCTCCGAATCCCATGGCCGGGTGTTCTTTGACACTGGCTTAGACTTAGTAGGTGGATTATTAGAAAAAGAACCCAGTCCTGAGCTGCCCAGGAATTACATAATGGGAAAACTTGGGGGGGGCGGGGGCTATGAAAACTTTAAGAATAGAATTCAGGAACCCCACCTCCTCTTCTGGCTTTGGTCAAGATAACAAGATCACATTACAAAATAACCCAGTTGGCTATACGTTAATTAGAACAGTTGTCAGAATAAATATCCCATCTCTAGACCCAGTGCCTTCAAAACACTCCCACTTCCACTCTACACTGCAATTCCTTTTGGAGAGTAAAAACCCCAGAGCACCTTTCTGTAGTCTTACAGGAAATACTGATAAGCCTGTCAAGAATGATGGTCTTGACACAAACAGCCTTCTATGCGATATCCAACACAGCAGCCGCTAGTCCCCTGTGGCCACTGGGCATCTAGCAAGTGGCCAGTGTGACAAAGGAACTGGATTTTAAACTTCACTTAATCTTAACTAATGTGAGTTTAAATAGCTGTATATGTCTGGAAGCTATGGTACTGGACAATGCTGATCTAGAGGCTACAAAAGCTCACTTTTAACAAGTAAAAATGCACGTAATAGTGAATCCTTTCTTTCCTAAGACCCAATAAACAGCTAGGAAATCACATTAGGTATCCAAACAGACTCTTGCTCTGATAAACCCCTGAGGCCAAGCTATCTCTATCCAATAAGGAAAATGAAAACGTGGCAATTCAATGGCCACAGCAGCCTCAAGTTCTCCCATGTCCCACTTACTCCCTGGACTCCTCCTCCTCCCTGGACTGTTCCTTTGAGGCTAGTCCCATCTTACCAAAGGTCAAAACCATTTTCTTTGCCTTCACTCTTGGTGATGGACCCAACAATTCAATGATCTGGGTCTTCCCATCCTTTAAACAGGGAGGCTGTCTTTTCCCAAACATTTTGGAAAATCCACGAAAGAAACTTTATAGCACAATGCTCGCAGAATATCTTAACTGTAATGGTCTAATAAGGAAGAAAACACTGCCACCACCAGGCTTTAGAACTCAGGATGAAGACGAATTTGTGACAGAAAGTGAAGAGATGAGGGGAATTTCCCCTGAACGGCTTTCCCAGGTCCATTCATGAGGAAAATCCCCAACTTCAGGAGACTCAAAAGATCTTTCTATGTGCATTTTCCGATGCTGACTGAGGTAGGCACTCCTGCTGAAGCGTCTTTCACAGTCGGTACACTTGTAAGGCTTCTCCCCTAGGTGGGTCCGCCGGTGCCGGATCAGGTTAAAGCTCTGACTGAAGCATTCACCGCAATCCGGACACTTGTAAGGCTTCTCTCCTGTGTGGGTCCTCTGGTGAATCAACAGAGTGGAACTCTGACTGAAAGTTTTCCAGCACTCCGGACACCTATAGGGCTTTTCTCCCGTGTGTGTCCTCTGGTGTCTAATGAGGTGGGAGCTGAGGCCAAAGCTCTTTCCACATTCACAACATCTATAGGGTTTCCCTCCTGGCTGGATTCTGGATTCTTCTAACACACTGCAGTTCCGACTCAAACTTTCTCCACATTCAGGACTCTCATAGGATTTCTCTCCTGCATGTGTTTTCTGGTGTATGATGAGATTTGAACTTCGACTAAAATTCTTTCCACATTCCGGACACTGATAGGGTTTTTCTCCTGTATGTATTCGCTGATGCTTTATTAGCGTAGAGTTACAACCAAAGCTTTTTCCACACTCACGACACTTGTAGGGCTTCTCGCCTGTGTGCGTCCGCTGGTGGCGAATCAGGCTAGAGCTCTGACTAAAACTCTTCCCGCAATCAGGACATTTATAAGGTTTCTCTCCGGTGTGAGTCCTCTGATGTTCTATCAGGACATAGCTGTGGCTGAAGCCTTTTCCACAAACAGTACATTCATAGGGTTTTTCACCTGTATGTGATCTGTGATGCTGAATAAGGTGAGAGCTGCTACTGAAACTCTTCCCACATTCAGGACACTTGTAGGGTTTCTCTCCTGTGTGAGTTCTCTCGTGAATAATAAGATGGGAAGTATTGCTGAAGCTTTTCCCACACTCACCACACTGGTAGGGCTTCTCTCCTGTGTGCATTCTCAGGTGCTGAATCAGGTGAGAACTGTTCCAGAAGCATTTCCCACACTCGGAGCACTTATAAGGCTTTTCACCAGAGTGGGTCCTCTGGTGAGTACGCAAATGAGAACTATTGTTGAAGCTTTTCCCGCATTCAGAACATCTGTAGGACCTGCCCTCAAAGGATGACTTCTGCTGGAGAGAGGCAAGGCCATGTTCTCCTGGGTCCCACTCCTGGTGATGACTTGTTTCCTCCTCTTTCCCTACCGAATTTCCCCAGTTCTCTGACTTGCCATCATTCTCACAGGAATCCTGACACCAAATCTCATCTTCTTGGACACATGTCAGTGGCATTTCTGTTATGTCCTCATGCTTAGAATTTTGTGAGCCATGTCTTTTAGACCATCCTGAAGCTCTCTCTTTAAGTTTATCTGCCTTAGGATTACTGTGCTTAACAGTTCCCAAATTATTCTTATTTTCATTGCCTGCAAGAATAAACAAATATCCTAAACACATTCCCTATTCTATGCCAGAGAAGTAAATTCTGAATTGCATGGAAGAGAGGGAATAAAAATGTAAAACTTCCTAAGTTTCTTTAGATTTAAAAAAAATATTTTAAAGCTAGTTTTACTTTATCCACTGTGTTCACCAGCAGCAGGCAGACTTTTGGTAGTCAGTGACAACACTAATAAACCACTATCAGCAATTGCCAAGAGGTTCATCAACTTAAAATTAAATGCATTAGGCCAGATGTGATGGCTCATGCCTGTAATCCCAGAACTTTGGGAGGCTGAGGTGGGAGAACTGCTTAAGCCCAGAAGTTTGAGACTAGCCTGAACAATATAGTGAGACCTTGTCTCCAAAATAAAAAATACAAAAAACTTAGCCAGGCCTAGTGGCACATGCGTGTAGTCCCAGTTCCTGGGGAGGCTGAGGTGGGAGGACTAATTGAGTCCAGGAGGTTGAGGTTGCAGTGAGATGCAATCATGCCACCGCACTCCAGTCTGGGTGACAGAGTGAGACCCTGTCTCAAAAAATAAAATGAAAATAAATGCATTAAGCTTTATTCTAGAAGATTTAAAAGAAAAAGGGGGATCTGAGTAAGGGTGAAACTGAACAGGTTCTCATCTGAGGAGAAAACTAGGCAATACTTTGTTAAAACGTGAGCAAATACTACAGAAGTAACAATCGCCACTATCTACTATGAATACTGCTTTGCATATGTTATCTCACCCTAAAGTAGGTGAGATATTATCATTCATTTTTCTGCTTAAAGATGAGAAAACTGAGGCTGAAAAAATTAACACAGCTTGAAAGTAACAAAGCAGAAAAGCAAATTAAGAGTTGCCATATTCTCATGTCCTGTTCTTTCTACATCTCCTTTCTTGGAACATCTTAGAATAAATTTCTTGAGGATTCAGATCATCTTCTTGATCCCTCACCTGTGAAGGGGCTTTTCAAATTCTCCCTCTCCATGAAGCCATTAGACTCTGAGACCAACAGTTCTTTTTCTTTTGCCATCACAATGATCACAGCCAGGCTAGGGATCAGAAATCCTGTGGAAGGAAACAGGTTATGTTTGGGGGCATTTGTTAAGGTTTATTCCTCCTCCTTCCTTCCCAACTATCATTCCCTAACAAAAGTAGGCACAGGATATTCTGTGAGCCATACTAACAACAAGAAACATGGCTCTTACAAACTCTTATCTCAAATACAAGTGTTTAGAATTGATGGTTAACCCAATTCACCCTTTCTAAAGAAATAACATTTTAAAAACTATTATCTTCACATTAAAGATTTGAGAATTAAGCTCCAAAGATAGACTACTAACACTCACTATCCACTCAGCACTTTGAAACATGTTTAAGTGAAAAGACAAAGTCATTTTTTCGGAATGACACCAAAAATAAAGCTGATGAAGACTTCAAGGAATCAATATGCAGGCATAAGAAGCAGTTAAGAAGAGAAAACACCCTGTTTAGCTTCAAAAGGATAACTTGGTTTCAAAGAGAAAAAAAACCTTTGGAGTCAATTTCAAAGAAAAGTTAGGGTTTATATAACCCGTAACAAGAAATGAGGACAGAGCAGGACTGTAATAGTTATAGGCGATGATCCCTCAGTATAGAAAGGAAGCTAGAAGGGACCTCTTCCCCTTGCTCTTAGTTTCTATCATATTCACAACATCTGAGGCCTACACTCTATTTTTTGGCACCAACTACAATCCCGGGCCTAGAAAACGCGCCTCGTCACCGGCAGGCAGTTACAGATGGACTTGGCATGCCTTTCAGGATAGAAAGAACAGCATTACTCAAGGAAAGATCGAGTTTAAAGGCAGAGTGTATATAAAGGTCCACATATAAAGAGCAAACAAAAACAGTGTGCTGTCCTGAATCATTTTCACCCTTTCATGGGCCAGTTAGCAAAGCCAGTAATTCGCACACGGTGCTCACCTAATCCTCACGATCGCCCTGGGGTGCACGGACTACCAGTCCTTCAAGGGTGAGCTAAGCGGGCAGGAAGAAACGTTCCTGGGGTCAGCGGCAAGCGGGGGAGGGGTGAGGCCCCGGGCAGAGCGGCCGCCAGCTAGTTCACACCGATCTAGGACCGGGACCCGGACACGAGGCAGAGCCGGCCGTCACCCCACCGCGCCGGCGGCCCTCAAGAGCGCCTTTACTTGGGGAGGCTCCGAGGGGGCTTTCCGGAA